GAGCCAGCTCTCTTCTCTGGACCCTCAGATGCAGGTCCTCCTCTGTGCCCTCTTCATCATCCTTCACTCTGCTCTCTCCTGGGTGCTTTCATCCAACCTCATCACGGGAACCCGCATTTTTCTAACTAAGGGTTTCACACCAGCAAGTCATAAAATCAACTTGGTGGTTTACCCCTATAATTTTTTTAGACTTGTATTGTGGTAAAATATGCGTACCTGAAAATTTACCATTTCAACTATTTGTGAGTCTACCATTCAGTGGCATTTGGTGGACCCAACCTGTTGTGCAGCCATCACCACCATCCATCTCCCAAACTTTATCCTCCCAAACTGAAATTCCATGCCCAATTAAACGCAATCTCCCACCCCACTGCCAGCCCCTGGTAACCATCATTCCACTTTCAGTCTCTATGAATTGACTAATCTAGGTGCCTCATCTAAGTAGAACCATATTTGTCATTTTGTGCCTGGTTTATTTTAGCATAATGTCTTCAAGATTCATCCATGTAAAAAAAAAAAAGGATTCATCTGTGTTATGTATCAGATTTCCCTTCCTTTTTAAGGCTGAGAGGTTTTTTGTTTGTTTTTTAATGAAGTGGAAGAGAAAATATTCAAGCATATTTCTTATAATAAGGACAAATATCGTTTCATAAAATGTTGTTTCTGGGGACGCCTGGGTGGCTCAGTGGGTTGAGCGTCTGTCTTCAGCTCAGGTCATGATCCCAGGGCTCCCTGTTCAGTGGGGAGTCCGCATCTCCCTCTCCCTCTGCCTGCCACTCTGCATGCTCATGCAACTCTCTGTCCAGTAAATAAAATCTTCAAGCAACAATAACAACAACAACAACAAAATGTTTGTTTCTGATGGCTGTGTATATGAGTGTGTTGTAGATCCCTGGGTATGACATAGTTCTTCCTGTGGATAACAATTATAAAAGCCGGAAAAACACTTGACTTTGATGGTGACTAAATAATGTCCGTTGCTAGCCTGGCTCTCTTCCAGCCACAGCTCCGGAGCTCATTTCCAAGGTGCTGCTGGAGAGCTCCATGTGGGTCTCCTTGCAGTGAGTGTCCCAGACTCAAATTTGTGACCCTCTTTCCTGCAGACCCGCCCCTTCTCACGTTTCCTACTGGAGCCTCCATAATCAGGCCCTGCCCGACACCCCTTGTCCCCGGGCATGCAGAATCTCTTAGCTCTCCCCTGCACCCAGGAATATATTCCTATTCAGGCTGGCTTTCACCTCCCTTCCTCCTCCCCTGACAGGCTTATGAGTCCCTCTGCTCTCTCTAAGACCTCCTCAAGTGCCTCCAGCACCCTGAAGCCATCCTAATTCACTCTGGCTCCCTAGCTCAGACTTCCAGTTTGGCTTCGGCACGTATTCCAGGTCTCTCTGTCTTTCCGATAGCCTGCAAGCCCCGAGAGCCTGGACTGTGTCCGTCTGGCACACCATTGTCCTCAGCACATAGCATGCTGTCAGCATATAGCAAATCTTTATTAAGTATTTGTTCAATAAAGTACAGGAAGGAGGAAGCCAAGAACATCAAGAGCAAACTCCACGGCTTCGTCTCACGCTCTTTCTTCCCGATCCACAGAGTGCGCACTTTCTCTGCAGAGACACGGTGCCCCCTGAGCCATGTGCACTGCCCACCTTCCCCCCTCCCATTTGCAAGATGGGCCCCCAGAGTCCTGAGTGCTCCCATGGGCACCCGCCTGGAAGTGGCCACTGCATGGCACGGGCAGAGGCCAAGCATCCAAAGAAAGAACACATATGGACTCACATGCCCCGCTCCTTTCTAATGAGATATATCCCTGATTCTCACCCAAACAGCCCATCATCTTTGTGCCCCTGGGTTCTTTGTGAGGTGCAAACAATGGAGGCTTTGCTGAATGCATCCCATCTCAGCACAGAAATGAAGAGTGGCCACCTTGAGGTCTAAAGTTGGTCTGCCCCCTGAGGCACGTTCTACTCACTTTTGACCAGGTTGTAACAATAGCCTCCCTGTGTCTCCCCATCACTAACCAATCCTTGCAAAGCCAGGAGCTCTTTCCTGGTGGCTCTTTCCTGGTGGCTTTTATCATATCATTACCCTCCTCAAAGACCACATGTGGCTCCCTATGACTGAATGAACCCAGTTCAGCCTGCCTTCCCAACCCACAAAGCACCTCACTGAAGTGACTCACCCAACATTACACCTATCCCTATTCTCCACATTCTCCCTTACACCAGTTGGATCCATCTCTTCATTGTGTCTTCCAATTACCCCGGGCACTCATGGGCAAACATGCGCACAAGCAAGCGCACAAGCGCACACACGCGTGCACAAACACACACACATCACATCACTTTCAATCACTTTTTCATTGTCCAATATTTACTGAGACCTTACTACGTGCCAGGCGCCATATCTGGTGCTCTGAGTGCAAATGGGAACAAAACAGAGTAAATCCCTACTTCGTGGAGATTTCAGTCCAGAGCAGGGTTTCTCCACTTCAGCCCTATAGACATTTGGGGCTGGGTAATGCTTTCTTGACAGAGGCAGATGATGCAGTCAGTGCAGGGTCCTTAGCAGCATCCCTGGCCTCTACCCATAAGTCGCCAATAGCACTCTCTTCTCCCAGTGTGACAACCAAAAATGTTTCTGGATGTTGCCTGGAGGCTAACACTGTTCTCCCTTAAGAACTGTGGGTCTCGAGCAGCAGGAGTAGCTTGTTAGGAATCATCTGGGGAGCTTGATAACCAGCAGGAACTGGATCCACCCCCAGAGAGCCCAATTCTGAGCCCAAGCATCTGCAGGTGACTCTCATGATGTCATCCCAAGACCTCTGTTTGGGGACCACTCGAGTATGAAGTGTTTCTGGGACACCGACTAATAATCACATCAGGTCAGTTCATTATGATTATAGATACGGGAATAAGAGAGGTGAATGTGTGAGTGGGTAGTCCGGGCAGGGGAGAGGTAAAAGGAGATGGTGCCATGCCTCCGCACCTTGGCTCACATGCTCTTTGGTTCTGGACATACACTTTCCCCCACACACCCATCTAAATCTCACTCTTGCTTCAGGGGTCCACTCAGGTTGTACCTCCTCCAGGCAGTCTTCCCTAACTACTCCAGCCCATTGGTACCTCTTCCTCAGATAATTTAACACCTACTACCTAACTATCTCATCATTTTGTTTTTGTGGTCATTTTGTGGTCATTTTTATCTTCCTCAGATAATTTAACACCTACTACCTAACTATCTCATCATTTTGTTTTTGTGGTCATTTTGTTTCCCCAAATAGATCTCAAGCCTCCTGGACATCGGGATCACACAATCTTCTTCTTCACCGACCCCGACAGCATCCTTCCAGGATCAGATATGTGCAAGTGTTGCTTGCTTGGCTGGATTAAACCACATCCCTGGTGTGAGGCCTCAGAAGTGGTATCTGAATTCAGGGAGTCAGGATCTCTGTGCAGGATCTCTCTGAGGGAGGATGGAAGGCACCTGGTGGGATCCCTGGGTGGCGCAGCAGTTTGGCACCTGCCTTTGGCCCAGGGCGCGATCCTGGAGACCCAGGATCGAATCCCACATCGGGTTCCCGGTGCATGGAGCCTGCTTCTCCCTCTGCCTGTGTCTCTGCCTCTCTCTCACTGTGTGCCTATCATAAATAAAAAAAAAAAGGCACCTGGTATGCCCGCTGAACTCTGGGCAGCTGGCACATCCCCCCAAGCCCAGGGAGGGCTTGCCAGAGCAAGCAATTAGGAGTTGAGCTGGCGTTTACCATGTGGGCACTGATGTTTTCCCACTGTTGACAAGGCAGCAGGGATCCCAGCAGCCTCAGCAGCGCTGAGGAGGTGCCAATTGGGTGCAGGAACCCAAGCCACCCTGCTGAGAACCAAGTGCAGCAGGTGGAGGCCAACAGGGCTGCGGCAGGCCACTTGAGCCCCAGTGGTCCTTGCACGGGGTTATCTTGGAGGGGCAGCAGTAGCCAGAGGAGGAGGCCAATGCAAGCAGGCCAGGAGACTCTGAAAATGTCCTTTAAAGCCACCAGCACATTGCAGAGCTCATCAGCTGCTTCAACCAGGGAAGAATGCTGTCTGGGAAGGTGGAGAACAGAAATGTCCCAGACAAGGGGCCTCACTCTCCCCAGCTCTGGGATGTGGAAGGAGAAGTAGCCTAACTGTAGCAAGAGAAAAACGAGAGAGAGGCTCTTTCTGAAAGAGGCTCTGATGTGGGGGTACCCTAGGGTCAGCGCTGTCCCTAGGCAGAGTGCCCTGAGCGTTTCTCCTTGCCAGCAGAAGGCAACGCTGACATTTCGCACACACAGGGACCAGGGCTGTGACACCTCCTACTGCTCTTTCTCTTAACAGAGCTGGAGCGCCGATGGGGTGGGAAGAGGGCCCAACCAGGGGAGAGTTAACTTGTGCTGCAGCTCTGACCTTCTGTGTGAGGATGAGAACGAACCATCTGTTTCTGTAGGGATCAGGTTGTGAGCTTCACACACCCAGTGGTTACTGGTTTATGAAAATCGACTGTCCCTGTCGCAGTATCCCAGCCCACTAGCACTCCCCACCTAACCTGGAGCTCCTAAGGGGGAAAAAATGCTTTTCTCCCAAGAGCCCCCACAAAAGTTCAGGACTCAGAGGGTAATCCCTATTGGGATTTGAGCCCTCCACTATGGGGGGGGCTCCCCTCCAGCCCAAAGGCGGGGGCACTGCCCATCTGGGAGACGCGTTATCTGACCCCTGTGGCCCCTCGGGGCATCACATGGATTTGTCATCAGTTTGGACGCTCGGGATTGTAACCTATGCCCCGTTATCTGGAGAGAATAAAGTTGCCGGCCCCTTGGGCCCGCGCTGAGCAGGCGCCCTCCTCCCGCGGGGCGCCGTTACCCAAAGCCAAGGCGGCGGGGCCGGCGGCCAAGTGCTGACCCCTGGTTCACCCACTCGGGACGCTGCGGCCGCCACCTGGGGGCTCGCCCCCGAGCCCGGGCACCCCCACCGGCGCCCGGACTCTCTTACCTCTTGATGTAGTTTCGGCCGTACAGGATCTGTTGCAGCAAGGTCACCAAGGCGAAGGCGCAGATGAAAATGAAGAGTAAAGTTCGGTTCCCCAACAAATCCCGGTTGGCCGAGGGGTCCGCGTAGCGCATCCTGGCGGCCGCTCGCGCACGGCGGGGCGCGGCGGGCGCCGGGCGCCGGGGGGGCCCCGCAATCACGCGCGGGGCTCCGGGGCCCCCGGGGGGCGCGCGGTCGAGCGGGCGGCGCTAGGCGGGCGGGGGACGCGGCGGGGCGAAGTTCCCGCGCGGCGGGGCGGGCGCAGGGGGCATCCGAGCGCGGCGGGCAGGGCAGGGCAGGGCAGGGCAGGGCAGCGCAGGGCAGCGCAGCGCAGCGCAGCGCAGGGCAGGGCTGGTCGCGGGAGCTCGGCCGCAGCCGCGGGCCTGCCCTCCGCGCGCCTTTACCTCCGGGCGCCCGAGCCCGGCAGCCGCCGGTTCCCCTGCGGAGAAGCGGCTCCAGGTGCCGGGGGCCCGGGGCGGCCCCTCCCGCCGAGCTGACGACCAATGGGGAGCGGGGCCCTGGCGCACCCGGGAGCGCGGCGCGCCGCCCCCTGCGGTCGGGCTTGGGATCGCGGTCGCGGGGCGCCGTGCCCTGCCCCCGGGAGCGCCCCGGCCGGCCCCTGCGCCCGCACCCAGGCGGCGCGAGGTGGGCCTCCGCTTCTGCGGACGCGAGGCGGGGGCCAGAACACCCGCAAGGGCTGGCGAACGACAGGCGGGCTGCGCGGAGGGGGCGGGGTGCAGCGGAAAAAGCCGGGGCTGAACCTTGGAATCATAAACGCGGGCAGGAAGGGGAGGCGGCGGCTGCGGCGCTGGGCAGGCTGCAAGCGAGCGTTTGCCGGCGGCCGCAGGGCACGGAGTCCCCGCGGTGGCCGCGTCCTCGCGCGCCGGAGATCTCTCCGGAGAAAGCGGAGCAAGGTCAGCGGGCAACCCTTCAAGGACGGCGCGCGCCGCTCCCGCCTGCTGAGGGCCTGCGGGGCTCCCCGCCCGCGCCCGGGCACCCAGCTCCCGCACGGAGAAGATCCCGGGGCTCCACACCCCGATCGCAGGCCTCCCCCGCGCCCCAGCTGCGGCCGGCGGCTGCTCGTCAAAGACCTTGTTGTCCCCGAGACACTGGGACCTTGTCTCATCCTTGGGACCGCTCATAAATCTTAGGTGAAGCGGCTGGCCGCCTTAGGGTACCACGGTCCCCAAAAGCTTCAGTAAGTCAGTAAGTCTGGAAGGGTTTGTGCTTCAGTGGGCAGCCACGGAAAATACACCCAGGAACGTACTGCCAGAGTCGTGCCTCTTCAGAAATCCAAACGCGCTCCCCTAATTTTCCTAATTCCCTGCCCCAGGAGCCCCCCTACCCCCCCCCCCCCCCCGCCCCCGGCCAGCCCTGTCATCCTGACACCGAAGTCCCCGGGAGGCTTGGAGAGTCACTGCCAGGGCTTTCACCACTGAGCCCCTTCAGGGCCCTCCAACCTTACTGGGAGGTTCTGGAGTCAGGGCAAGGATTCCTCCTCTCTCAACTAGATGGAAACTCTAAACGCTGCAAGGAAAGATGACTTTGATGAGGAAGCATCTAGACTCCAATGCTCCGTCCGGTCTTACACTTTAGTAGTTTGCTCTTTGAGCTGGAAAGACCAAGAGAAGGGGAGGCAAATCTCATGATTAGGGATTTACCAATAAGCTTGGAATTCGTGTCAATGCATAAGGTGGAAATGGGCCCTGTGCGATCTATAAAGAGTTTATGTACCAAATATGTCTCTATGAGGTCAATTAAAGAACACAAACATTTAGATAGCCCATTATTATAATAATCCCTATATTCAGTTGGTGTTTTACACATTAAAAAGTGCTTGCTCTTGCATATATTAATTGAATTAGGGCCTGCTAGCCTCTAACTAACCCACTTTATAATCAAAAAGACCAAAGCTCTAGATGCCCAAAGTATCTCATCTAGCAAGAAGTCTTTGGAATGGGAGATGTGGCATTTTCTCCCATAGAAGCAGGGATGGCTTCATAGTCAGGGGACCAGCACCTGGACCCCAACCCCACCCTTGGCTCAATGTTCCATTCTAACTTCTTAATAATTTTTGAACGAGGAGGGCCTACACATTGCTTTGCACTGGGAAACACAGATTATGTGGTGGGTCCTGCACAGTCATCCAATTTGATAGACTCTTGATTTCTCCCTTAGTTGGTCCTCACCTGTAGAGCTCAAGAGTTACCACTACCACATTGCTGGCAAGGGGCTCTCATTTCCTCTTCTCCTGCTGGTTCCCCACCCCCATCAAGCACCCTCTCTGATAACTGTCTTTGAGTGCACAGTGCCTTGGAAAAACAAAACTAATCTATTTTAAAATAGGAAATCTAAATTATTCTAAAAATGTACGGCCTGCTGAGTTTCCACAAGCTGAACACACTAGTGTAACCAGCACATAGATCAAGAAACAAAAACACTATCAGACCCTCCCACCCTGCCCTGCCCAAGACCCCTCTCCTGCTCCTTTCCAGTTACTACATACTCAAGAGGAACCACTATTCTGACTTTCAACCCCAAAGATCAGTGTTTCTCGTTCTTGCATTTTATACAAACAACGTCATACATTATTCTTTCATCTCTGACTTCCACTCACCATTTGTTGGAAGATTTCTCTATGTCATTGTGTGTGGCCCCCTGAGATTCCTCATCCCCTCTGGTACATGCACTCTCCCAGTTATTCAATTGAACATCAATCTAGGTGCTGCTGGGAAGAGATTTTGCGATGTAATTAAGGCCCGAATTAGTTGGCTTTGAGATGAGATGATTCTCACTGGGCCAGGTCACATGAGCCCTTAAAAGGGACTAAACTCTTCCTGGCCAAAGGGATTTTGAAGCTTGAGACAGATGGACTCAAGGGAAGTTCTTCACTGTCGACTTTGGCAACGGAGGAGTCCCCATGGCAAGAGCTACAGACGGCCTCTGAGGGCTGGGACCAGCTCCTGGCTAGCAGGCCACAAGGAAATGGGGGACCTTAGTCCTCCACTCAGAAGACCCCAAATTCCGCCAACAACCTGAATGAACCAGGAAGACAGTCCTGGACATCCAAGCCTGTGAGGCCCTCTGAGGAGAAGCCAGATCTAAGACCCACACCCCTGTGAGCTGGTAGGCAAATGTGGTTTTCAGCCACTCAGTGGGCGGTCATTTGTTTCACAGCACTAGAAAACCAATACTTTGCAGGCTATGATTTAGATAGTTTATGGATACAGTCCCAGTTTGTTCAATCTTATTTCTGTATGGTATGTCATGTGGCACAACCTACTTACCCATTCTACTGGTGATGGACCCCTGGAGAGCTGCCGCCGTGGGCCTTCCAGCTTATGTCTTTTGGTGAACATACGCATGCTTATCTGCTGGGTGGCGGTATTTGGAAGTGAAATCGCCAGGTACAGGAGATTCAGCTTTAGTGATTGCTGCTGAACGGTTTTCCAGAGAGCCACGTAGCTCTTTTCATAGGTATTTTATTAGGTATTTTATTTTCATAGGTATCTATTTTATTTTTTAAAAGATTTATTTATTTATTTATTTATTTATTTATTCATTCATTCATTCATTCATTCATTCATTCATTCATGAGAGACACACACACAGAGAGAGAGAGAGAGGCAGAGACACAGGCAGAGGGAGAAGCAGGCTCCACACCGGGAGCCCAATGTGGGCCTCCATCCTGGGACTCCAGCATCACGCCCTGGGCCGGAGGCAGGCGCTAAACCGCTGAGCCACCCAGGGATCCCCTAGGTATCTATTTTAAAACAGGAAATCTAAATTATTCTAAAACTGTATGGCCTGCTGAGTTTCCACAAGCTGAACACACTATTGTAACCAGCACACAGATCAAGAAACAAAAACATTATCAGACCCTCCCACCCTGCCCCGCCCAAGACCCCTCTCCTGCTTCTTTCCAGTTACTACATAGTCAAGAGGAACTACTATTCTGACTTTCAACCCCAAAGATTAGTGCTTCTCATTCTTGCGTTTTATACAAACAGCATCATACATTATATATTCTTTCATCTCTGACTTCCGCCATCATCCTAGCTGACACCAACATTACGCAGCTAATCTAATAGTGAAAACCCAATAAGCTAAGAGCCAAAACAGCCCAGAGACAATAACTCCTTAAGGCTGGGTGCGGACTCTCCTCAATGGCCAGGTGGCCTGCAGGAAGCAGCAAGTGAGGGCTGACGCTGACGTTGGCCACAGCTGGCACTCCATAGCAGCATTCTAGGTGCAGTGTGTTTGGGTCACCTGATCCCCGGTGAATGATCAGCAATAGTCCAGCGTGCAGCTCTTCTAATCCTAAACAGTGTCTTAAACCTGACCACCCTCATCCAAGTTGGGAGGTCCCTTTAATGCACACACGGATAGGAGTGTCGGCAGTGGAGTCGGAGACCAAAGATCTCGAAACACGGAGGTCTGCAGTCCCTGTTGTTGCTATCAATATGGATCTAGGTTCCATTTTAAGCCAGATCTGTATTCTGATTGTGGGATTGCAGCAAACACTCGGAAGGCCTTGCAAACAAAGGAGTAAACACATGGATAGCTGATCACTATGCCAGACTCGGCCAACACCACTTTTATATCCTAATTGCCAGGAACGGGGACAGCTGCCTCATTGTTTAAAACACACACACATGCACAATTAAGCCAAGAACAAATGTCAACACTGGCACAATCCGCTAACTTACTGATAACTGATAGGCATTACTCATGCTGTGAGCATCATCTCCAATAGGAAATGGAAAGATCCCTTTTTTAAAAAAAGGCCTTAGAGAGTTGTACTGGTTTAAGAAAGCCGGGGTTTGTACCGTTGCGGCACAACTGCAACCTGCCAGATTATGTAAGTGACATTCCACCCATGTGTTCAAGGAGTTTGTGATAAGTACATGCTGTTCTGCTTCTTTATATTTGTGTTAACAAGGCAGGCTCCAAGTGGCTGATTCCTGGTTTGGGGACACTTTGTCTGTGCTGAGGGTGTCTCGCAGCCACGCAGCAGAAATGCCCGGTGATGTACCTCAGAATCTAGAGAGCTGGGGTTCGCCACTGCTTAGTCAGCTGCAGACGCTGGATTCCACTGGTTTTCCATACATTATTATCATAGAATGTAACTCTAATTTAAGCCCCTTGTTCAGGCTCCTTAGAAAGTACAAGGTTATGTTTGAAATTATTTCTTTTAAGAATACTGAACAAGGCTCTCAGGTCACACTTTGGCCTTCACATCTCCAACCTGAGAGACAGCGTCCTTCTGTCCCCGCACTGCCTCCTGGGGCTCCTCTGCTGCATCTGCCTCGATTCATCCAGTCTGTTTCTAGAGGCACAGATATGCCTCTTGTTCTTAATACACAGTGGTTCCTGCATCGCAGAGAGCAGGAACACTTGTTTCCCCCTTGGGGTTGCCACACTCCCACAGGTAGCCAGAAACAGCTATACTATTTATAATGAGGTCACTCAGGACACCTCTCCATGATGTGGTATCTACTTTGCTCACCTTAAAGGCCAAGCTCTGGGGTAGAAACACGGGGATCAGGTTCTGCCCTTTGAAGAGGAGCTCTGACAAATTTAGCTAAGAGACTGTTTTTCATTTCCAGTCCATCGCAGACTCCTGAACACATTTTGTTGGTGGTCTGTATGATGCTAAAACTTCGAAAGAATGCCCCGTGAATACTGCTGCTTGGAAATGTTTAATGTTCCTTGGTACCAGAAGAGAGAAAAGGCATGCACGTCCTGCTGTGATCATGCATTTCTAAAACCCCAAAGGAGATGCCCAGTCCTGATGCCATGGTCACAGCAAAGCACATGTTACTTAACTTCCATCCTAGGTTCTAAAAGCTCCAGGCTTTCTGAGCATGTGGTGGAGTGTCTACTATGTGGTTGGTATCGCATGATGTGCCAGGGGAATGAGAATCTGCAAGCCATACTCTGTGCTCTTAAAGGAATTTATGTGGCAGTGAAAAAGACAGAGCCTCTAACCCAAATTGGGGTGGCAGGGTGGGAAGGTGGGTAGGGGGCAGGATGGCAAGGAAGCGGTCTGGACCAGGTTGTGTTTGACCTGAACTGTGACGGGGAAGGATGATCAGCCAGGAGTCAAGGAGACGGGCAGGGGGCAATGCGGACAAAGCCT